AGGCGGCCCCAGACTTTTGTCTCCAGTCTGCAGGCAGTTCCTCCAGTGATTCATAATCAGCGGGAACTTATAAATAAACCCCACCTCGACCTCGCACCACAGCCTGGCTGGGACCTGGGCGGGAGCGAGGTGGGGGGGCTGGGAAACACGGAGGCCGAGGAGAGGCCCTGAGAAGGCTTGGGGGACTGGGGTGACGCTGGCCATTGGGCAGGGGCACCTCTGACTTCCTATGGAGGGATTGCAGGGGGTGTTACCAGCAGTCATATCCCCCCCCGCCCCCGAGGCCTTGGGCATGGGGCCACCAGTCAGAAGCAAGGAACGCTGAGAGGCTGGAACTTTCATCTGCTTCCCAGGAGGGTGGTAGATGAGTCTAGGTGGAATTTTGAAATAACTGGACTTTAAAACCTTTTGGGGGATTATAATTTCAAATTCATGAAAAAGTTGCAAAAAAATAGAACAGAGAACTCCTGTATAACTTGTAGCCAGATTCATCAATTGTTTATATTCTGTCCCATTTTGCTTCATCATTCTTTTTCTCCTATATTTTCTTTTTTGGAATCTAAAAATAGGCTTCCAATTATGGAAAACAGTATAAGGTTTCTCAAAGAAACAAGAATAGAACTACTATATGACCCAGCAATTTCACTCTTGGATATATATCTGATGAAAACAAAAGCACTCATTTGAAAAGATACATGTACTCCAATATTCATTTTTTTGTTCATTCTAAGCCTCTTCAGTCGTGTCCAACTCCTTGTGACCCTATAGACCGGTAGCCCAGTAGGCTCCTTAGTCCATGGGATTCTCCAGGCAAGAATACTGGAGTGGGTTGCTGTGTCCTTATCCACGGGGCCAATGTTCATAGCAGCATTATTTACAACAGCCAAGGTATGGAAGCAACCTAAGTGTCCATCAACAGAGTAATGGATAAAAAAGATGTGAAAATAAAAAAGATGTGGTACATACATCCAATGAAATACTACTCAGACATAAAAAGAATGAAAGTTTTATATTTGCAGTAACATGGATGGACCTAGAAAGTAATATGCTAAGTGAAATAAGTCAGACAGAGAAAGACAAATACTGTATGATATGATATGTGAAATCTGAAAAATACAACGAGTGAATATAACAAAAAAGCAGACTCACAGATATGGAGAACAAACCAATGGTTATCAGTGGTTGGGGGCACAATATGGGGTGGGGGAATAGGAGGTACAAACTATATTGTGTGTAAGACAGGCTCAAGGATAGATTGCACAACATGGCAAATATAGCCAGCATTTTGAAAATGGAGCATAACCTTTAAAAATTATATAAAGATAGTAAAAATAGGCTTCTAGCATCACACCTCTGTGCCCCGTATGACTTCACTGTGCATTTCCTGAAACAGCCATTGTTTGGAATTCTGATCAACCACTTACTAATGTATTCCAGGGCAAGATGTTCAGGTCTCGTGTCCTCTGTGAAGTGGGGCTACAAGGACCCCTTTCCAAGGAGAGGGTGAGGAGAAGTAATGGTCGAAATATCTATCAGAACAGTAAAGATAGGCGCAGCTCATTATTTTGTGCAAAGCAACTTGCATCTATTATGTCATTTGACCTGCACACGTGAAACAGGCTCAGAGACGGTATATAATTTGTCCAAGGTCACACAGCAGGCCAGGCTTTGATGTACACAGTAAGCACTGAACTAATCCTGGGGCCTGTCCTCATTCTTATTTGCTGCATGATTGTGATCAAGGGTTGGGTTCCTAGGCTTCTGTCTCCCCTTGTGATATGGGCACTGGTATCTCTGCGGTGCTGGGTGGGGAAAGAATGCAAGCTGCTTCTGCATGCAGCCCAGCTCTCCAGGTTCTTGGAAGAAACGCTTCCTGTGGAGTGGAAGCTGCTCCAGCAGTCAAGCCAGCTTCTCTGAATTCTTCCGGTCACTTTATGATCCAGGCTTAAACCTCTCTTGCAGATTGTCTCTGGAAACCAGGACATCTGACCAGAAGGCCCTTCGCTGCCCAGGCTCTGTAGCTTCTGCAGTGATGAGGCCTGGCCACCAGATGGCTCCACAGAGACCACTGCGCTCTCAGGGACGGGGAGGTAGGTGTTCCTCCAGGGGCGGTTTAACGGGACTGCGCCCCTTGGGAGTGAGAGCAACCACACTGCCTCCCCTTTGGCTTCGGGTTGCAGAGAAACAGTAGGGAAGCAAGTCTCCACGGTCACTTGGCCCTCACTCTGCTTCACAGGGGTTGTTACCTGGTTGAGCAAGGCCTGGGACTGTAACAGCTGCTGGGTTTCTCTAGACCTCAGTTTCCACATTTGCAGAAGGGGCAAGTCCCTTCTGCCTGGCTTTCCTCATGGGGTCTGGCTGGCAGGTCAAACACCGAGCCTGCATCCCCACACCTGAAACTGGTATCATAGGAGAGGTTGTTGCGTGTCATCATGAGGATGAAGAGCTGCCCGCATAGGAAGAGCTTTGAGGGTTAAGCCTGCAGCCACCTACAAGTGAGCTCTGGGATCTTCCTCCAGCTTCCAGACCGGCTTCCTTTATAAACTGTAGTGCGGGACTTCAGAGTGGGAGACCTCAGGGCTCATTTCAGCTGTACCTTCCAGTCTTCAGACAGAGGAAAGTCCAGGGAGCAACAGCGGGCTTGCCCAAGGTCTTACCACCCCATCTGACCACACTGAAAACCACGTCCACTAACCCTGGTTCAGGGGACAGCTTGCATTAACTCTTCTCTCCCCTCTGCCCAGAGACCCAGCAGAGAGACCCAGAGCTGGGAAGGGCTGGTACAGCTGGGGCAGGAATGGGCACACCATGAGCTGAAGGCCGGGCTGCAAAAGAGCTCAGTTTAGAACCCAAGGAAACTCCCTTCTCCTGAGGAACAGCCAGACCCCCTGCCCCCACCAAGGTCTTCCATGGAAAAGCCCCTGGGGGCTCACCTGCCCAGACCCTCGCTGGCTGGGGGGGGGGGGGGGGGGAGGGAGGGGGGAGTTGAGTTTTGAACACTACAGGGAACTTGCTGGATTTCTATTGCTTCAGTGTATCTACACACTTTTATTTATGAAACAAGACTTCTGTTCTCCGTTAATTAGTGGGCTCCTATAAACCCTCTCCCCCAGCTCAGGATGTGGAGAGGGCAGGGGGAAAAACCAATAAAAATATAAAAATATGGAACTCCAGATGCACTGGGCAGGACCAGCCTTCCTGCCTGGAGAGAGGGAGGGACGTTTTACCCCAAATTAGTAACTGCCAGAATCCCAGGCTGATAACAGGCATATTTTGGGAAGAACATGCTACTAACTTGACCTCATTCATACGCAACTGTAACAGACTGATGGAGTGGCTTTTTCTTCAACAAGATTGGATGGGGGAGGAGAGGGGTCCTGTGAGCTTGGGAGTGGGGTGAAGAGGAACTGGGCAGAAGTTGGGGATAGGCAACAAAGAGTGGAAGCTGAGGGCTCCATTGGACTGACAGTATTGCCCATGCACCAGAAGGAAATGGACCACTGACTTTCAGGAGAGGCCTACATGGGTTGTGGGGGTGGGTGGGGGGTGCAGATACTCAATTTCCATGAGTCAGTGTTTTCTCCTAGGGAAGAAAAGCAGGGTGCCATAACCTGCAGTTTCCTGCAGAGGAAGGGTTCCTGCAGGCCCAGCCTCATGCCTGGCTCTTTGCAGAGCCCCTGAACTGCCCCAGGGGAAGCAAGAGCTGTCCTCCCCATTGTGATCCAGTAGACTGAGGCCCAGAGAAAGAAAGGGACTTGCCCAAGAGCTGAGTTGGTAACAAAATGCCTAGAAGAACCAAGGTCTCCTGGTCAGTTGCCTTTTACTCACGTTCTGCCTGAATCTGAAGTTTAGGCCAAACCAGTATTCCTGGCTCTGTGATCCTGGACCTTGCCAAGCTCAGTTTTCCTCATCTGTAAAATGGGAGAGTATCTCTTATCCACTGGGGTTGTTGACAGGATTCGGTACTATACGAAATGGCCTGGCATATAGTCGGCATGCAGTCAGTGGTGGCTGTAATACAGAGGAGTCCAATCTTACTTCAGGGCATGGTTCTTAAGGTCATTTAGCTCGAAGACTGGAAGATGGTGAAGGACGAGGGAAGCCTGGCGTGCTTCAGTCCAGGGGGTTGCCAAGAGGCAGACACGACTGTACCACTGAACAACAACAACAATGCAAAGAACGAAACAAGAAAAAAATAAAGACCAAACCCTTGAAAATCCTTTAGGAAGTCACTGAGAAGAGGGGAATACTTATTTGGGGTGAGTGGGGAAGAAAGCGGAAGGCTTTAGGATTGCCAAGGAGCCAAAGGGTGAGACGGTGTGACAGGCAAACTGTATATGGTGGAAGGGGTGCCGTGCAGGCCTGGCGGGCTCAGGAGGGTCAGTGCCAGAATGGGCAGGGCCTTGAATGCCAGGCAGAGAAGTCTGACCGGCTTGCTGCTGTCAGGAGATGTTTAATTTTGGCAGTGGGGTGATTAAAGGGAGGTTCCCTGTGTGTGTGAATTTCCACCCACCCCCAGGGTTGTTTCTCTGCTGGAGAGCCGGGGCCAATTTATGGCTCCTGGCTGCCCCTAAGCAGCCTCTCCCAGCCCTCCTCCTCCCTGGCTGTCTGGCAGCCAACTGAGTTTTATGTGGGGAATCTAAGGAATTTGAAAAGGCAGAATGCAAATGCCACTGTTGGAGATTTCCTTGTCAGCCTCCAGAGGGGAAGGCCCCTCTCCGTGGGTTAAGGAAGAGTGGCTCTCTGGGTCCCCAAACCTGCGGGATGCTCAGGGCCAGTTCCTTGGCCCCTGTCTGTGAGAAGCAGGCAATGTCACCAGAAACCAGCAGTCTCCTCTAGAGCTCTTGGAGAGCCGAGCTGGCTAACAGAGAAGTCTCTGGACACTGCAGAGAGCCTGCCACACGCCCTGTGTTGGGACTTTAATGACAATTCCTCAGAGCCCTCCTTTAACAGAGAAGCGAATAGACAGAGGAGGGAACGGGAGACGTTTCGTCTGGGGGTCACCGGGGCCGACCTGGACGGGGTCCAGGGCCCCAGCGCTGATGGGGACCGGGGGGCGGCCCGGTGCCATGAGCGCGCTGAGGACGCAGGGCGGTCCCGGACCTCGCGCGTCCGGAGACCCTCAGGGCGGTGGGCGCGCCCGCCGCCCCCGGACCTGCCCCGTCTGGCGTGTGTGTGGGGGGAGCCGTGGGGGGCGGCCGGGAGCTGGGAACTGGGAGCCGGGAGCCGCGCCCGAGCTCGGGCGCCTCTATCTCCCGCGGCCACGGCGTCTCCGAGTCTCGGCGGCCCGAGCGCCGGGCGTTATCTGCTCTCGCCCGGCCGGGCCCCTTCCCGCCTTCCCGCCAGGCCGGGGCCGCCGTGGCGACGGGCTGCTCCCGCCTTATCATCGGCTGCCCCCGCCAGCGAGCTGGGGCCCGAGTCTGACCCCCGCCCCTGCCGCTCCCCGGGCGGCCCCCTCCCCTCCCGGACAGCCACCCACCCACCCAGATGCCCTCTCCCAGGGGGGCCACGTCCCCGATGTCCCTCTCAGAGCTGCCCCTTCTGGGGCCAAGCTGCAGGAGCGCTTTCCCCAAGGGGCACTGCATCAGAAAAGGGTGTTTGTCAGATTTGTCCTTTTCTTAAAAGGCAAGCCTGACTACGGTTAATCCCATTTTAGTCACGTTTTAAAGGATTTCATAAGAGAGGCAAAGTTATGCAAAACAAAACAAAAGCAGTCAATCCCTAAACCCACTATACATCAGGGCTGGGCAGGGGCGGGGTGGGATAGAGTGCTTATTCATCCGAAGGCTCTAAACAGCTTCTGCTCAGGGCTTACTGTGTTAAGTGTGACACCCCTTGGGAGCGAAGTTTCCCCACCTAAGTACTGGAATCTGTAGGCCATAAAGCTTCCCGCAGTGCTGGTGGCAGAAAGCATGGGTGCAGCCCTTTGTAATAGCAATTTGGCAGTATAGACAGAAAGCCATAAAAGTATTCATACACTTTGACTCAGTAATCTCACTCTGGGAATGTATCCCAAGGAAATAGTTCAACAGCAGTGAAAGAAAAAGACAAAAGCAGAAAACTGTGGGTCCAATCATGTGTTATTTGTAAAGCTAATGAACGTATCTTTCTGAGTGAAAAGTTGGAATACACAAATTGCGTGGAACGGGGTTTGTACCCACCATGGTCTCACTGTGAACCCATCAACAAACCTCAAATAAGTGTCTTAACCTCACTGAAGTTCCCTTTTTGTTTCTGGGAAGTGGATAACCTCACCACTCAGAGGACTTTCGAAGGAATTCCAGGAGACAGCCTGTGAAAGCATCTAGTACAGCGTTTGAGGGCAGAGGAAGAACATAAGACGTGTTTATTTCCCTCCTTTCTTCATCCTTACAGAAATGAAAATATGGAGTATTTCAACTCACATTTGTAAATACTAGAGAAAGTGCATGGGGCGTGTTAAGAGCTTGGGATTTTTGAGTCCTTCAAACTTGGATTGGGCTAGAATCCTAGCACCACTTCCTAGTTGTGTAATCTTGATAAGATGTACTTCCTCACTTATTAAAAAATGATGATAGAATTTACTCTGTAACTGTTGTGAGGATTAAATGAGGTAGTATGTGGAATGTGTTTACATCTGTGCCTGGCATATAATAAACACTCAGTAATGGGTGGCTATTAATCCCACTTTCAGGACTATCCATAAAAAATAATTGTGTGTGTTTTTTTTAACTGTGGTGTTCTTCATAGTGACAATCCCAGTGTCTACCTCTTAGGGCATGGGTGGATGAATTTGGTTACATCCATGCCAATGGATACAGTAGACTTCTAAGAAGGAGCTTGTTGAATCTGTGTGTGGTGACTTGCAGGGTTGTCTGTTCTATTAGGTATAAAAAGGCAATTGTGTAGTAGTGTGTAAAGTATGATCCCATTTTGTGTTTAAAGAAAGTGTGTGTGTGGTGTGTATGAGAGAGAGAGAGAGAGTAAGCCTCCAAGACTTCACTGGGATAAATGTTGGTTATGTTTGCTTGAACCTAAAGAAAAGTGGATAGGTATACTGAAAGGGGAAAGAAGTTTTGTCCAGTTTTCTTTTTTTCCAGTTTTATTGAGATATAATATTATACACGTTTAAGGGGTACAATATAATGCATGAAAGCGAAAGTCAGTCAGTTGTGTCCAACTCTTTGTGACCCAGGCCAGAATACTGGAATGGGTAGCCTTTCCCTTCTCCAGGGGATCTTCCCACCCCAGGGATCAAACCCAGGTCTCCTGCATTGCAGGCAGATTGTTTACCAGCTCAGCCACCAGGGAAGCCCAAGAATACTGGAGTGGGTAGCCTATCCCTTCTCCAGAGGCTCTTTCCAACCCAGGGATCCAACCAGGGTCTTCTGCATTGCAGGCAGATTCTTCACCAGCTGAGCTACCAGGGAAGCCCAATATTGGGCTTTCCAGGTGGTGCTAATGGTAAAGAATCTGCCTGCCAATGCAGGAGATGCAAGAGATATGGTTTTATTCCCTGAGTCAGAAAGATCCCCTAGAGTAGGAAATGGCCACCCACTCCAGTATTCTTGACTGGGAAACCCCATAGACAGAGGAGCCTGGCGAACTACAGTCCATGGGATCGCAAAGAGTTGGACACAACTTATCAAAACAACAACAATAATACTTTACATATATATGTACATACACACACATATACGTATATATATGATCACCACAATACATTTAGTTAACATCCATCACCTAACATTTTTTTCTCATGATGAGAACTTTTAAGACCTACTTCTTGAATATTTCCAAACATCTTTGTGAGCTATAGTCACCATGCTGTATATTCCCAGAGCTCATAACTAGAAGTTTATACATTTGATCACCTTCACCCATTTCTCCCACCCTCTGCCTCTGGGAACCACCCATCTGTTTGCCCATTTGTGTAGTTTGACATTTTCTGTTTCATTTGTAGAAATTCTGAATGTGAGATTTATGAACCCTTCCTTCCCTGCATGTGAGCCTGTGGAGAGGCTCCTGCCAGCCTGTTCTGGGTTTCTTGGTGGTGGGAGGAGAGAGGGGGTGATCTCAGGTCCCCATCTCTCGCTGACCTCTGGCCCGCTACAGCAGCATGTGTTGTTGGAGTTTGGGAAAATGACAAACAGATTTGATCACACACAACAAAACAAGAGTTTGCAAGGCAATATGATCCCTGGTTGAGTTTTTGTGAGAAGGAACAGCCTGTGTCTGTGAGTGTGTAGAAGAAGGGCTGGGAGGACCTGGCTGACTCTTGAAGTGGGGTGTGCTGAAGGGGGTTTTATTTTTGCACATCTCTTGTTTGCAATTTTTTTACACTGTGCATTATTGCTTTTGCAAGGATAAAGCGGTGGGGTATCTTTACTCCTGAAATACACTGTTGTATTTTTGTACTGTGATTGCAAGGAGAAAATGTGTACAAACACCAGAATTTGGGTTCGGATGATGGGACTCAACCCCACAACTATTTGGTTTTTTTTTTAGATTTGTGCCTTTTATTTTTTTTTATTGTGGTAAGTAATGCATAACCTAAAATTACCATCTTAACCATTTTTAAGTGTATAGTGCAGTAGTGTTAACTATCTTATAACAGATATCCAGAACTTTTTCATCTTGCATAACAGAGGCTCTATACCAACTGAACATATTCCCATCTCCCCCTCCCCTCAGCCTGTGGAAACCACATTCTATCAATAGTTTCTTTCTCTATGAATTTGACTACTTTAGAAACCTCATATAAATGGAATCATGTAATATTTGTCTTTTCGTGGCTGACTTACTTCACTTAGCATAATATCCTTGGGGTTTGTCCATGTTATAACTTATGACAAGATTTCTTTCTTTTTTTAAAGGCTAAATAACATTCCTTTGTGCATGTATGCTACATTTTGTTTAGTTCTTCAAAGGAAATTTAAGCTGCTTTCACCTCTTCAGTATGGTGAATCAATGCTACAATCAACACAGATATGCAAATATTTTTTCAAGATCCTGTTTTCAATTCTTTTGATATATACTGCTATGGGCTGAATGTTCCTATACTTCCAAACTCCTATGTTGAAATTCTAATCCTAATGTTATGGTGTTTGGAGATGGAGCCTTTGGGTGGTAATTAGGCCATGAGGGTGGAGCCCGCATGAATAGGATTAGTGCCTTTATCCTTACAAGAAGAGGACAGAGAGCTCCTTAGCTCACTGCTGTGTGAGGACACAGTGAGAAATCGGCACTCTGCAACCCAGAGGAAGGCTCTCACCAGAACCTGACCATGCTGATAGCTTGATCTTTGCTCCCCAGTCTCCAGCACTATGAGGAACAATTTTCTGTGGTTTATGAGCCACCCAGGCTATGATATTTTGTTATAGCAGCCCAAGTAGACTAAGGCATATACCAAAAGTAGAATTGCTGGATCATCCACTCCTGTATTCTCGCCTGGAGAATCCCAGGGACAGAGGAGCCTGGCAGGCTACAGTCCATAGGGACGCAAAGAGTTGGACATGACTGAAGTGACTGAGTACACATGCGTGCATGTGCTAATTCTATTTTTAAGTTTTTTGAGGAAATATCATACTATTTTTCACTGCAGCTATATCATTTTACATTCCCACCAGCAGTTCCAGTTTCTCCACATCTTTGTCAGCACTTGTTATTTTCTGTTTGTTTTTTGATAGTGACCATCCTAATGGATCTGATGATATTTCGTTGTGTTTTGATTTGCATTTCTCTGATGGTTAGTGATGTTGAGCATCTTTTCATATGCTTGTTGACCATCTATATATCTTCTTTGGAGAAAAGTCTATTCAAGTCCCTTGTACATTTTTTAATTGGGTTACTCATGCATTTATTTACTATTGATTTGTTATGGATATTAACCCCTTATTAGACATATGATTTGCAAATACTTTCTGCCATTCTGTGTGTTGCCTTTTCACTCTGTTTCCTTTGCTGTGTGAAAATTTTCAAGTTTGGTGCCTTACCATGTGTCTACTTTTTACTTAGGTTGCCTGTGCTTTTGGTGTCACATCTGAGAAATTATTGCCAACTCCAATGTTTTAAAGTTCCTTCCCTGTTTTCTATGAGTAGTTTTATAGTTTCAGGTCTTACATTTAGGTGTTTGACCCATCTTGAGTTGATTTTTGTATATAGTGTAAGATAAGAATCTAAATTCATTCTTTTGCATGTAGATACCCAGTTTCCCCAACACCAACTGTTGCAAAGACTATCCTTTCCCCATTATGTAGTCTTGGCGTCTTTGTTGAAGATCATTTGACCATGCACAAGGGTTTATTTCTGGGCTCCCTATTCTGTTCTATTGGTGTAAACATCTGTCTGTATGCCATTACCATATTGTTTTGGTTGCTGTAGCTTTGTAATATGTTTTGAAAGCAAGATGTATGAGGCCTCCAACTTTGTTTTTCTTTCCCCCTGTATTTTAATGTGGCAAATTTCTATCAAGTAAATTTTGAACTGTTATTCCTTGTTTGCAGGTTGGGAAGATCCAGGGGAGGACATGGAATTGGATTCTCACCTGGGGAAGCTCTGGTAAGCATAGACAGAGTGGATGACCGCTAACTGTTTGCCCACCCAG